TCCCAAGCGGCCGTAAGAGGCACCAGGCAGGTGCGAGCACGCTTGCCCAGACACCGCTCGCCACCGCGAGCAGACGGCGCGGACGCAGTCCACGGGCCAGCCTCGGTCTCTCCCGCAGTCCCAGGGCCAGCGTCGTGCGAGCAAGGCGCACCGTGCCAGCTTGGCAGACTGGCCGGCGGGGCCAGATCTTCCCTGGAGATTCCCAGGGCGGCCCCCGATCGCCCCAGGACGGCCCCTGAGACGAGTTCCCAGACCCCCTCGAGTAATGAAAAAATCATGACGGGAGGTTTTTCGCTACTTTCGGCCTCTGGGGGACCTCGCCGGGCTTCGGGAGCGTCAAAAAACGATTCAGGATGAAAAGCCGGTCCTGGGGAAGTGGTCCAGACTTCTGCGGGTCGACGTCATGAAAACATCATGACGTCGGGGGTCTGAGTTCAGAGAGCATCAGCGGCCCCAACATTGTCAAAAGGGCCCTAAGAAGTTTCGCAGGATGCACCACAGGGCCCAAGAGAGGCCCCCGACAAATTGCTCCAAGAGGGCTTCTCCACGACGGCCCAGGTCGGCCCCAAGAATGCCCGAGAGGGCCCCAGAGGGCCCGACGACGGCCCAGGACAGGCTTGGCCCAAGACGGCCCCAAGAGATCAAAGTGACCCCCAAGAGGGACCTGAGCGAGATGTGGGAGGCGACATCGGAGCCCGACTGCGTTCCCGTCCTGATGCTGCGCGTGGGAGAGTAGTGCGCTGTGGGATAAGGACGTTCAGGCCCGAGCCCGCCAAGGTCCCCCCAAGGACGAGTCCAAGAGGCTCGGCGAGATGGCCCCAAGAGTGGCTCAGAGAGCCCCGGGAGCATCCAGGGCAGCCCAAGAACAACCCTGAGACGGACCCGTGACGATCCAACGGGGTCCCTCGGTGCAGACCCCCCAAGAAAGTGCAGGACAGCCCCGAGTAGCCCAAGAGCTCCGAGGCGCTCCAGGGCATCACCAGAGTGCCCAGAGGTGCCCCCCAATACAGGCCAGTGGAACCCGAAGATGGACTCCCAATGTTTCCAGCCCCAAGACGGCCACTCGCACCAAAAACATTACATCTGCAATTCTTTCAGCCTCCTCGCCTCTCCGGCCCAAGACGGCTCTAAAAACAAGAGCGCCCTCGAGGGCGCGAAGTTATTCGCGCTTCGCGGTTCGGCTCCGATTCCTCCGCATCATCTCCTTCTCCCCTGGAAGGCGGCGCGAGAGCGCGAAATTATTCGCACTTCGCGCAGCGCGAAGCGCGAAGTTGGGAGCCCTTGTAAAAATGATCGTGACATCTGTTGCGCGTGGGTTTCATCCATTCGTTACCCTATTCAGCTACGAAGCTGCCACCGGCGCGTGCGATAAAAGCGAGCGTGGTATGCAGGTGTTGTTGCTGCTCAGCGACCTGAGGGGCTCGATGTGGTAGCTGAGCGGCATCTTCTCCATTGCTTCAACGACTTGATCGATTCCCAAACGAGCCCCAGAGGCTCTCAAACGAGCACCAGAGGCCCCAAGATCATGGCCCAAGAAGCGCCGAAGACAGCACCAACAGCAGCCAAAGACGGCCTCAGACGGCCCGAAGACGGCCCCATAACGGCTCCAAGCGCACCAGGCTGGGCTTGCCGGGCTTGCCCTCTTCATAGCGTCCAAGACGGCCATACAGGGTCCCAAGATGGCCCCAGGACGGCTCCTGAGGCGCCCTTGGCGGAGCAGCCAAAGACGGCCTCGGACGGCCCGAAGACGGTCCCAAGACGGCTCCAAGCGCACCAGGCTGGGCTCCTCGGCCCTCCTGGCTGGCGCCTGTTTGGCGCTCCCTTTTCCTTTGCAAGCACGTCGTTTTCGGCACCGCCTGATCCCGAGGCTTTGCCTCCTCCTGGCCTCGCCGTGAGGCTGCGCTCCTTCCCTTCCCCCCTCTTTGCTAATTCAAGCTTCGCGCGACCCGCTTAGCTTCGACCGGAAGAGGTGCGCTCTCGACCCGCGAATCAAAAAGCCTGTTTGGCGCTCCTTGCCGGAAAGTCCCTCGCCCTCTTTGTCGGTCTGGAGCCCTCCCTCCGCGGCCTCCCGGGGCCCTGCCGTGCTTCGCTCTGGCAGCCCTCTCGGGGGCCTCTCGGGCCAGCAGGGGGCCATTTGGGAGGCGTCTGACGCGATCTTGGGCCGTCTGGGGCCGTTTGGGGCCGACGTCCCTGAGGATGGTGATGATGATGGTGATGATGGTGATGGTGATGGTGATGGTGATGATGATGATGATGATGATGATGATGATGATGATGATGATGATGATGATGATGATGGTGATGATGGTGATGATGATGATGATGGTGGTGGTGGTGATGATGATGATGGTGGTGATGCTGATGTTGACGATGATGGTGATGATGGTGATGATAATGATGATGATGATGATGATGATGATGATGATGATGATGATGGTGATGCTGGTGCTGATGCTGATGATGATGGTGATGATGGTGATGATGATGATGATGGTGATGATGATGATGGTGGTGATGATGATGATGGTGATGATGATGGTGGTGATGATGATGATGATGATGGTGATGATGGTGGTGGTGATGATGATGATGATGATGGTGGTGGTGATGATGATGATGATGGTGGTGGTGGTGATGATGATGATGGTGGTGATGCTGATGTTGACGATGATGGTGATGATGGTGATGATGATGATGATGATGATGGTGATGCTGGTGCTGATGCTGGTGATGATGGTGATGATGGTGATGATGATGATGATGGTGATGATGATGATGGTGGTGATGATGATGATGATGGTGATGATGATGGTGGTGGTGATGATGATGATGATGATGATGATGATGATGATGCTGAAGTCTCCCAAGAGTGAACGGTGCCACGAGCCATCTCGACCCAGTTACTGACTCCGTGCCCGGGCTCCGCATGGGGCTCTTCGGCCTCCCTGACGCTTGCTTGGCGCTCCCTGCCTGATTTGGTCCAAGTGCTACCTGGCGCCCCCGCAGCTTGATCGCCTTGCGGCAGCACCCCTTCACCCCGCAAGTGGACGTAGTCCACGGGTCAGCCCTGAGTAGTCTCTCCTACAATGGCTGGCCCAGCGCTTGCGGAGGTGCCGATCGGTGGCAGCGGACCGGCCCCCTCCGGCGGCCCCTGCGAGCCCCAGCAGGCCTCGGCGCGCTTCCAAGATGGCCCAAGCGCGTTCCGAGACGCACCAGGAGGCCCCCAAGAGGGCCCCCAGATGGCCGAAGACAGTCCAAGAGGGTCTCCTAGACGCGCCCAGAGCACTCGACAACGCCTCGGACAGCCTCCAGGCGGCCCAGGAGACTTCCCAAACGCTCCAAGTGGGCTCCAAGACGAGTCCCAAGAGAGCCCCCGAGCCCCAAGAGAACCTTCAGGAAAACGTGCATTGTCTCAGTTCCCAGGCTTGCCCTCTTCATAGCGTCCAAGACGGCCATACAGGGTCCCACGATGGCCCCAGGACGGCTCCTGAGGCGTCCCTTGCGGCCCACGGGGTACCCAAGACAGCCTCAAGAGCGGCCCAGGACGGCCAAAGACGACCCCCAGACGGTCCCCAGACTGCTCCAGAGACGCCCAAGACGGCCTCAGACAACCCCCGGACGGCCCGACAACGCCTCAGACGACCTCCAGACTGCCCTAGAGGCTTCCAAAACGCTCCAAGTAGGCTCCACGACGAGCCCCAAGAGAGTCCGAACACCAACAAATCTTTTCATTTCCTAGGGAAACATGCATTTTGGCAGTTCCCGGGCTTACCCTCTTCATTGCGTCCAAGACGGCCATACAGGGTCCCAAGATGGCCCCAGGACGGCTCCTGAGGCGCCCCTGGCGGCCCACGGGGCACCCAAGACAGTCTCAAGAGCGGCCCAGGACGGCCACGACCCCCAGATGGTGCCCAGATTGCTCCAGAGACGCCCAAGACGGCCCCAGACAACCCCCAGACGGCCCCGGACGGCCTCCACACGGCCCAAGAGGCACCCGAGACAGCCCAAGAGGGCCCCAGGAGGTTTCCAGGAGGCCGAAGGCCGAAAAGAAGCGCTGAGAGGGTCCTAAACGATCCCCGGAGGTCACAAGATCACGGCCCAAGAAGCACCGAAGACAGCGCCAACAGCAGCCAAAGACGCACTGAAACGGCCTGAAGACGGTCCCCAAATGGCTCCAAGCGCACCAGGCCGGTTCCAAAACCTATCCGGCGGGCAGGTGGCCCAGAATCGGCTGCTATAGGGCCGCCCCGGAGGCGCCCGCGCCGTCCCGGGACGCGCCGGGCGGGACTCTGCGCTGGCGGCGCGGCGGCCCAGAATCGGCCCGCCGATTCTGGGCCGCGGCGGCGCGCTTGCGGGCGCGCCGGGCGGGATTCTGGTCCGGCGGCGTGGCGACCCAGATATATCGGCCCCGCCGATTCTGGGCAGGCGGGTCGGGGGCCCCAAATCGGCTGGCTGGCTCCAGAGGCGCGCGTGGCCCTGGGAGCGAGGGGCGGGACTCTGGGACGGCGGGCCGGGGGGCGCCCAGAATCAGGTTGGCGGGCTCCGGAGGCGCACCGGGGGGGGATTCTTGGCTGGCGGCGCGGTGGCCCAGAATCGGCACCGCCGACTCTGGGCCGGCTGGCCGGTGGCCCTGGGTCGGGCCAGCCTGTCCTTGCAGCCCGTGGTCGCCGCCGCCGCTGTCGACGTCGTCGTCGCCGTCTCCGTCGTCGTCGCCGTCGTCGCCGTCGTCGTCGTCGTCGCCGCCGCCGCCGTCGTCGGTGTCGTTGGGGGCTCGTTGGGGGCTCCCAGACGGGCGAGCAGTGCTACCTGGCGCCCCCGCAGCTCAGCGATGGCAGGCAACCATGACGCCATTCATCCTGCTCGCCTTGCGGCAGCACCCCTTCACCCCGCAAGTGGACGTAGTTGTGGTCCACGGGTCAGCTCCAGTCTCCTACAACGCTGGGATCAGTGCGTGCGAGAAGGGCGAGCAGTGGCAGCAGGCACTGGCGCTTCTCAGCGAGATGCGGGAGGCGAAGCTGGAGTCCGACGTCATCCCTCCTACATGGCCAGTGGATCTGCGTGCGAGAAGGGTTCACAGGGCCTCGTGTGCACAAAATCGCCCCTTTACGGCGCCACCACGGGGCCGAATCGCTCATCGCTCAGGCCAGTCCCAGAGGCGCTCCAGAGGGGCCCCAGACCGTCCAAGAGCGCTGCATGACGGCCTCAGTGGGTCCCGAGACGGCCCACGAGGGCCCGAAGCCTTCCTGGGGGGCTCCACGACGATGCAAGCGGCCGCAAAGACGCCCCAAGAGGGCCCCGAGCGCACGCCAAAGAAGCACAAATCGTCAAATTCCCATGGGAAAAACGTATATTTTCAGCATGCCCGCCTTGTGTGTTCCTCAGCGGCCCCTGGACACGCCAAGAGGCCTCCCAAATCGCCCCAAGAAGACGCCAGCGGCCCCTAAGAGGGCTCCAAGACGGCCCACAAGAGCCCCAAGACGACGCCAGAGAGCACTGAAACGGCTTCACAGAACCCCAAGACGGCCCCAAGAGAGCTCCGAGGGGGCCCCAAGAAGCTCCCAAGACGGCCTCAGGCAGCCTCAAGAGAGCTCTAAGACGGTCCAAGGCCTCCCGGACAAGCCCGAAAGCGTCCCAAAACGCTTCCAGAGCAACCCAAAAAACTTCAGAATGGCTCGAAAAAGACTCCACAAGGACCACCAAGCAGGCCCAGAGATGCCCACTAAAAGCGATCGGTGAAGTACAAAGCTCTTCTCACCAAGGCTCCCAAGAGCGAGACGCAGCGTATAGAGCTCTCCCAGGCACAGCTCCCAAGAGCGAGCGGTGACGTCGGGACACCCTTCCGACCTCTCACACAGGAGCACGCACGCACAGCACGCAAGCACAATAGATTTCCTGAGCTGTCCCCCGGAAGAGGCTCGGGGGGACAGCCCGGGAACGGCCCCAGAGGCGCCCAAAATAATTTCAAGAGAAAAGGCCCCCAGGAGGCCGCAAGACGGCCCAAGAGGGCCCCAAGAGGCCCCTAGGAGGCCGCAAGACAGCCAACGAGGCCCCAACAGGCCCCCAGGAGCTCGAAAAGAGCCCCCGAGAGGCCCACTAACCGTTCCCAAGGAGACGGTAGCGCCCGCCATCAGGCTTCGAAGAGGCAACCGGAAAAAGTCACCAGAGCCCTCCGGGCAACTTTTTTCAAGGCCCCAGGTGCTTTCAAAATTGACAAGCGGCGAGACGTACACCGCAGACCCACCATAGCCGGCTGTGACGCTCCGAAGGCTGTCTAGGCGGAGGTAGAGCGGAAGGCGGACGAAGAGAAGGAAGCGGTCCAAGAGGGCCTCCGAGACGGCCCAAGACCGCTCGAAGACGCTCCAGACGAGCCGCGGCAAACGAAATCATTGATTCTTCTATGGTGTCTGAAAGATTTCCACCTTCTCGCCATTTCGAGCGAAGACAGGCCCAAGACGGACCTTTCGAGCCAAGTCTGGCCCAAGATGACGTAGACGAAGTCCACGGGTTCGCCCTGGTCAGCTACAGTGCTGGGATCAGCGCGTGCGAGAAGGGTGAGCAGTGGCAGCAGGCGCTGGAGCTGTTGAGCGAGATGTGGAAGGCAGAGGTGGAGCCCAACGTCATCTCTCCCACATGGCCGGCAGAAGCCGCGTGCCGGAAAGAAGAAACGGCCAAATGTCGGTAGAGCCCTCCAGCGGGGCCCCGCGCGCTCCCGGGTGGCCCCGAGGCGCTCCACGACGGCCTCGGGGGGGCCTCCCCACGGAGGCTCGAGGGGCCCCGGACGGCCCCGAGACGGCCCAAGAGGGCCTCCGAGATGGTCCACGAGCGCTCGAAGACGCTCAGGATAAGCGCCAGACGGCCCAAGAGGCCCCCAAAAACGCTCCAAGTGCGACAATACGGGCCCCCAAGATCGGCCCAAGACGATTCAGGATGCCCCCATGGGCTCCCAAGACGGCCCCCGACGCAGGTCGGCCCAAGACGGCCCCAGGACCGCTACTGAGGCGCCCACGACGGCCCAAGAGTCACCCAAGGCAGCCCCAAGAGCGGCCAAAGACGGCCCAAGACGGCCCCAAGACGGCCCCAAGCCAGCCCCAGTGGTGTTCAAGACGGCCGCAGACAGCCCCAAGACGGCCCAAGGGGCACCCAAGACAGCCCAAGAGGGCCCCAAGAGGCACCCAGGAGGCCGCAAGACGGTCCAAGGGTCCCAAAAGGCCCCCAGGAGGCCGAAAAGAACCCCCGAGAGGCCCCGAAACGGTTCCCAAGGAGAAGGAAGCGCCCGCCATCAGTGGCCGCATAGAGAGCGTTGCCCTCCTCCATGGGTGCGGGCGCGAGCGAAAGAGCGCCGAATAATGCGCATCAGCATGGGCGCTACTTTCCTTTGCTATGGGCTCCCAGCTCCAGGGCGTCTTTCGCCGCTCGCCGCCCAAGTGAGACAGATACACCAGAGGCCTCCAGGGAGCGCAGTCCCCAACACAGTCTGATCCCAGAGCGGCGCGGAGACGGCGCCCAAAAGGACGTGGCTCCCTGCGCGTCCACAGTGAGCCCCCATGCACAGTCCACCGTGCGACATTTCGAGTGCCCTGGGACAGCATCGATCTCTCCCGTGGGCACGAAGCAGGCAGCAGCAGCGGCGGCACACAGCAGCAGCAAGCAGCGGCAGGCAGCGGGTAGAAGCACGCACCAAGCGGAATTGGCCATCGGCAACAACCTGCAGCCACAAGCAGCAAGAACACGCAGCAGCGGCCTGAAGCACAACCAAGAGTACACAAAAGCGGCAGCAAGCAGCAGTACGCAGTAACATGCGCGAAATGTGAGGTCGGGCCCCACAATCAAATGCCAGTTCGTGCGGATTTCGTGGACGGAGTCCACGGGCCAGTCCTACCGACGTCGCCAGCCTCCTTCTGGTGCCCACAACCAACGGCGACGACGACCACCACCACCACGACAACAGCGTCGACTACGACGGGTACGACGGCGGCCTCGCGGCGGCGACGACAACGACGCCGACGATGACGGCGACGACGGCGGTCACGCGACGGCCAAATCGTTGGAGCGTTGCTAGAGCTCGGACACGAAGGCGCGGTCTCGCTGCCGCCGCCCTGGCCGCCGCCGTGCTTATGGGTGTTCGACAAAATCTTCGCCGTTCCTCCGAGAACCATTCCAGAAAGATGTCGTGGACGGAGTCCACGGGTCAGCCCTTGTCTCTACTACATTGCAGGGCCCAGTGCGTGCCAGAAGGGCGCAGGCTCCAATGGGTCAAAACCGCCCCGGGCTGGCCCCGGGCCGCCCCGGGCCGCCCAGGCAGGCTCCAGGACATGTCGCGAGGGCCCCCAGAAGCCCCCAAGACGGCCCCGGACAGCCCCGGCACGCTTAAAGACGGGCCCAAGACGCCCGAGAGTCGCCCCAGACGGCCCAAGAGGCGTCCAAGACGCCCGAAGAGGCCTCCCAAGAGGCCTCCCAAGAGGGCCCCGAGCGACAGAAATCGTTGATTTCTATTGTGTTTTTCGATGTTTTCGGCCTCCTCGCCTCTTCGGCTTCCCGACGCTCCAAGACGGCCCAAGAAGTCCCCCCGACCGCTCCAAGACGGCCGAAGAGGACCCCAAGAGAGCCCCAAGACGGGCCAGGAGGGCCCCAAGACGGTCCCAAGACGCCCCAGGACGGCCCCAGGACGGCCCAGGAGGCGCCCCAGACGGCCCAAGAGGCACCCAAGACGGCCCCAGGAGCGGCCCAAGACGGCCCAAGACAGCCCAAGAGGCGCCGAGGCGGGCCTCAGACGGCCCCAAGACGGCCCAAGAGGCACCCAAGACGGCCCGAGAGGGCCCTCAGGCCCCCCCGGGAGGCCCAAAAGAAGGCCGAAGAGGCTCCGAAACGGCCCCCCGAAGCCTTCAGTGGCTTCAGAATTCCCTCCAGGAGCGGGGGAGCGGACGAGAGGCGACAGGCATATCGCAGGCAAAAACGCCCCAAGAGATCCCCAAACGGCCCCCACGAAACCCTACGTGGCCTCAGAATTGCTTCCAGGAGGGGGGGAGCGGACGAGAGGCGACCAGCATATCGAAGGCACAAAAGAACAATGTTGGACGCTCCGAGGGCCTTCGATGTTTCTCTGTTGGGGAGAGTCGTCGTAGGATCGACGATTGCCGACCGAGGGCATGGAGAATCCAGCGAAAGAGGAGAAGAAGGTGGAAGAGGAGGAGGAGGAGGAGGAGGCGGAGGAGGAGGAGGAGGAGGGGGAGGAAGCAGCAGGACCTCCGAGCAGCAGCAGCAGCTGAGGAACACAGGAGAGCAGGAGGTCCTGGAGGGTGTGGAGAGCGCCTTCAACTGGCCACGTCGAGCTGATGTCGTGGACGGAGTCCACAGGTCTGCCCTAGTCAGCTACAATGCCGGGATCAGTGCGTGTGAAAAGGGCGGGCAGTGGCAACGGGCCCGAGCATTGCTCAGTGAGATGCGGAAGGCGACGATGGAGCCCAACGTCATCAGCTACAGTGCTGGGATCAGCGCGTGCGGGAGAGGCGAGCAGTGGCAGCGGGCTCTGACGCTGTTCAGCGAGGTACGGGAGGCAAAATTGGAGCCCAGTACCATCAGCTACAACAGCTGTATCGGCGCGTGCGAGAAAGGTGTGCAGTGGCAGCGGGCTCTGTCGCTGCTCAGCCAAATGCGGGATGAGAAGTCGGAGCCCGACGTCACAAGCTACAATCATGCCGTCCATGCGTGCGGGAAGAGCGGGCAGTGGCAGCAGGCCTTGTCACTGCTCAGTGGCATGTCCAAGGCGAAGTTGGAATCAAACGTCATCAGCTACTGTGCTGGGATTCGCGCGTGCCAGAAAGGTTGGCAGTGGGAACAGGCTCTGTCATTGCTCCGCGAGATTTCGCAAGCGAGGTTGGAGCCCAATGTCGCTAGCTACCGCGGTGGGATTAGCGCCTGCGAGAAGAGCCGCGGGCAGTGGCAGCGAGCTCTAGAACTGTTCCGCGAGATCGTGGGGGTAGGACTGGAGCCCAGCGTTGGCAGCTACAGCGCTGGCATCAGCGCGTGCGGGGAAGGGGAGCAGTGGCAGCTGGCCACATCGCTGCTCTGCGAGATGGGGGATGTGAAGCTGGAGCGCGACGGCATCTGCTACCACGCCGGCATCTCTGGGTGCGCTAAGGCTCGGCAGTTGCAGCATGTCCTATCGCTGCTGGACGACATGCGGGAGGCGATGCTAGAGTCCTACGTCCACAGTTACAGCACTGGGATCAGCGCGTGCGCGAAGTGCGGGCAGTGGCAGCGGGCTCTGGCGCTTCTGAGCGAGACGTCAGAGGTGAAGGTGGAGCCCGACGTCGTCGCTCCTACGTGGCCAGAAGAGGTGCCTGCCAGAAAGGCGCGGGCCCAAAAGTAGACCAGATTCGTCCTCGCAGGTCCTGGCGCGCTCCTGGACGGTCCCGGGACTCCCCGAGACGCTTCCAGAGAGCCCCCAGGTGGTGTGAGAGGCGGCCCAAGGTAACCCGAGACGCCTCTAGACGGTGCAAGAGGTCGCCAACATGGCCTTCAGACGGCTACCAGGGCCCCAAGACGGCCCAAGAGGGCTCCAAGAGGCACCCCAAGAGGCCTTCCAAGAAGGCCCCGAGAGGCCAAACTCGTTGATTTCCTTTCTGGTCGTTCATTCGTTTTGGCGGTTTCGCCTTTTCGGGCTTCAGACGCTCCAAGACGGCCCAAGAGGCACCGAAGATCGCCACAAGACGGCCCAACGTGCTCCCAAGAGGGCTTCCAGACGGCTCAAAAGACATGAATACGGCGCGAGAGGCGCGAGAGGAGGCCCAACAGTGCCTCAAGAGGGGGATCTGGAGAGCAGACTTTTAGCGCCCTCCGCCCCAAGAGTATCCTGGAGACCGCCAGTAGGCCCCCAAGACGCCCCGCAGAAGCCCAGGAGGCCCCCAAGAGGGCCCAGAGCGGCCCCGGGACACCCCAGAGAAACCGCCTCGAAGAGGCCTCCGACGGAGCAGCCGCCAGGGAGGTCTGTGACCGCGCCGGCCGCCCGAGAGAGCCCCGTGAGCGACGCCAGAGGAGACCAGATGGCCGGCCACGCGCGCCGAGGCCACTGCGGCATGCGTGCGCAGGCCTCGCCTCGTACCCTCCCTCTCGCTCCCGGCTCCCCGGCTCCCCGCTCCTCGATCCGCCCTGCCCTCGCCCCCTCTCCTCTCGCTCCTCCCCGCTGCCTCCACGTCTCCTGGCCCCTCCGCCTTCCCCCTCCTGGCTGCCGGCGTGAGGGCCCCCCTCCTCGCCGCTCTCTCTCTCTGCCCCTCCCTCGGCCGTCGCCTCGCCCTTCTCGGTCCGTGCTCCTCGCGGACTGCTCCTCTCTTCCCGGTTAGCTCCCGTCTGGGCCCTGAGTCCTCGCTCCTTTCGCCTCGCTCCACTCACGAGCTGCAGGTCGCGTCATCTGGCAGGGGTGCGAAGAGGCAGCACTCTGCAGCAGCACCGGGAAAGTAAGCAGCAGCAACGTGTCGCAGGCAGCAGCACCATGCAGCTGCAGCAACAGCAGAGGCGAAGTTCGGGCCCAAGTCACCACGAACGTATTTGGGCAACATCTCTGCATTTGTCCAAAGTGCAATCTCGGACAGACTTCGTGGTCGGTAGGCCACTGGTTAGCCCTAGTCAGCTACAGCGCTGGGATCAGCGCGTGTGAGAAAGGCGCACAGTTGCACCAGGCTCTGCCGCTGTTCAACCAGATGTGGGAATCGACGCGGCGAGGATTGAGCTTAGCATTGCCGTTTGAGAGAAGAGCAAGCAGCATGCAGGTGCAATGCGATTCCTTGGCGCTCGGCAAGTTGTAGCCCCACAGAGCCTGCTGGTACGATGCGATTATCGGCGCGTGCGGGAAAGGCTAGCAGCGGCAGTAGGCTCTGCCGCGTCTCGGCGGGATATCATAGGCACAGCTGGAGGCCGAACGCCGTCATCAGCACCAGAAGCCTGGAGCTTGCCCGCGCGAGGGAGAAAACTGCCGGTGGGCTGGCCTCCAGCCAGTCACCATGGGAACCTCCAGGGGCCACGGTCGAAGCGTGCCCCGAGGGGCCGGACGCCGATGACTCGCGTGCTGCCTGTTGGGAACCATGGGGCCGGACCTCTGCCTGGCTCGCGAAGTGCTCCGGGTTTCTCCAGGAGCGTCGGGGGGGCGTCACCCACGCCGACGGCCCCACAGCGACCCCCGTCGCGGGCAGCCACCGCGCGCCGGAGGCGCTCCGACCCCCGTCGCGGCGCGACGACGAGGCGAGGTTACTAGCTTGACCCCCTGTCGGGGGGAGACCCCCCTCCCCACGCTTGTCGAGAAGCCCAGAGCAGGCATGTCCAACGCCGCGCCCAGCGCGCGGAGGAGCACCACTGCCCCCGAGAGCTGGTGCGCCTGCCCGACAGCTGCTCACTGCCCCCCGTGTGGCCGCGGCGCGGCCGCGCGAGGCTGGCCGGCCGGCGGGCCCGCGGTGCCGGCGCCCTCCCTCACGACAGCATGCTGGCCCGGTTCGTGGGCTGCCTGTGCAGAGCATCGGGGGCGGCAAGGAGGGGGGTGATCATTGCACATGGCTCATGTTTACGTATTCGAAATATCTTTGATTTTTCGGGGGGGCCAAGATCCTTTCATTTCTATTTGTTCTATCCTGGGCCTCTTCCTGGCCACCTAGGGGGCCAGGAACAATTAGAAACGAGCACAATTAGAAATGAGCACGATTAGAAATGAACGACGAGTGGGGGGGGATGGATATCATGGCGTGGGCCACGACATCTCCCCAGAGTTCTCATGGCGCCTCTTCTTATTTCATCACTTCCCTGGCACCCCTCCCCTCGGGCCGCGCACGTGCCGCCGGCCATGATTTGCACCCCCCCCCTCTTGGACGCCCCCCTCTTGGCCGCCCCCGAGGGCAGGCGGCAGAGGTATGCATGCCTGCGGAGTGCTTCTGAAGTGCGTCTCTAGGGGGCCACATGCGAACGCTACCCCTGCCCCCCACGATTTCTGGAGGGGGAGGGGGGGGGGTCACTTCGCTCGGGAGCTCCAGAACGAAGTGAACCCCACCCTCCCCTCAGAAATCGCGGGGGGCAGGGGTAGGGTTCGCATGTGGACCCGTAGTCAGCTACAACGTTGGGATGATTAGCACGTGCGAGACAGGACTGCAATGGCAGCGTGCTCTGTCGCTGCTCAGCCAGATCTGGGAGGCGAAGGTGGTGCCCAACGGCATCAGCCGCAGCGCTGGAATTCTGGCTTGCGATAGAAACGGGCAAGGACAACGGGCGATTTGGCTACACAAGGAGACATACGATTAGAAGCTTGAGTCCAAGATCGTTAGCTTTACGATGCGCGGGTAAATGCAGAGCAGGCTCAATTGCCATGCTGGGGTCAACGAGGGCGGGAAAGGCAGCTAGCCGCAGCATGCTTCAGGGAGATGGGTGACATCGAAGGTGCAGCTAAAGTCATCAACGACAACGCTAGCACGAGTGCGAGCGAGAACGGTAGAATCTGGCAGCGGGCTCTGTTGCTGCTCAGCGAGGAGGGGACGCGAGGTTGGAGCCGACATCACCGGCTACAACTCTGGAGTCGGAGCGTGCGAGAAGGCCGAGCGAGTTCACCACGTCCAGGTCGTCCTTGGGAAGGTGCGGTCGAGAAAACTCCATCTAGACCTCACCAGCGGCTAGGGGCTTGCAGGGCCGGCACTGGAAGCAGGTGCTGACATGGTCCGTCGAGGTCGAGGTGCGATATTGATTTCCGGCGGGATGACGCGGTCGGTGCGTGCGCATCGTGCCGGATGCAGCCAAGGGACAGTGCACTTCTCGGCGACAGACGGCTCTCACAGGGGAGCCGGAGGCAGCGCGCGGCAGCGACCGCCACCGAGCAGCAGCAGGTACCAACGGTACAGTCAACCCGCATGGTAAGGGTGGGCAACCCTCCCGAGGGTACCCTTGCATCCTCGCCTCGTCGACCCAGCCTTTGCCACTTTCGTTGGCCGCGCCCCGCTCGAAGAGCCTCGAAATGGGCGTCCAAGGCCCTTGCTTCCTTCTCGCGCATCCCTACGATGCGGGCCGATTGTATCACAAGTGGTGACACGAAGCGTGCGGCGGCAAGACGTCAGGGCTCCAGGCTAGCAAACTCGATTGCAGGTCTTCATGCGAGCAGGTACCCTAAGATCCGACGTTACAACAAAAAATACAACATCGCAGAAAATCACGCCCGGAGCCCTGGACCCCATCTTTCGGCGTCATCGTTCGAGCCGGGTCGATCTGTGAGGGCCCCAGGGCCCGAGATGGAGCGCAAGCGCCTGTTGTGAAAAAATTGCAACGCCAGGATCTCAGGGTAAGCAGCTTAAGCAGACAAGCAATCTTCCTGGCATCGCTCGGACGTGTGCATTTTTTCTCGGCGAGGGCCATCGAGGAGCACCCTTGACCATTTGGCGAAACATCCACGCACGAAACCGCAAAAAAAACACAGGGAATGGACGTCCGAGCGATGCCCAGTCTCTGCTGCTGCACGCGGAGAGTCGGCCTTCCTGGCCACTGCCCGCCCTGAGGCCCGGCCAGCGGCGGGCGGCCGGCACTCCCTTCCTTGCGCCGCCGGCGCCGTGGGCCCCCCCGCGCGCAAGCGTGCGGGCCGGGGGGCCAGAGCGCAGCCACGCGCAGAGGGGGGTGGGGGGAGGGGGGAGGGCTTCTTCCCAGACCCCCTCGAGTAATGAAAAAATCACGACGGGAGGTTTTTCCTAATTTCCGGCTTCCGGCGGCCCTCGCCGGGCCTCGGGAGCGTCAAAAAACGACTCAGGATGCCAAGCCGGTCATGGGGAACGGGTCGGGACCTCTGGGGGTCGACGTAATGAAAAAATCATTACGTCGGGGGTCTGGGTTAGAAGCACCCCTGCTTCTTGGAAGGCGCGGGCCTCATCGATACATGTGAGGCCGGCGCCTTCTAAGAAGCAGCCTGCTTCTAAGAAGCCCTCCCCCCTCCCCCCACCCCCTGGTGCGCGCCGCCAAAGAGCACCGGACGGTGCTAGGACGAGGAGACATCCCCAGACAGGATCGCGTCGTAAAAAATCAGGCAGAAGGTTTCTCACTATTTTCGGCCTCTCGAGGCCCTCGCTGGGCCCCGGGACCGTCAGAAAACCACTCAGGATGACAAGCCGGCCCCGGGGAAAGGGTCGGGACTTCCGGGGACGCCGTCCTGAAGAAATCAGGACGTCGCATGTCTGGGTCCGTTCCCAAGGCGTCCCGGAACTCTCTCAGAGCATTCCGGAACGCTCTGAGCAGGCCGCGGCGCCCGAGACATCCTCCAGAGCCGTCAGACCTCGGAGATGCTCGATGAATCTCCTCAGCCGATGTTATCCTCGTCCTCGCGTCGTCTGAGATCAGACCACCGAGTGCGGCCCCCAGAGAAGGATGGTTGGCAGCTGCCCCCAGCGGCTCGGTGAGGGTCCCCAGAGGGTGCTGTGCCGCACGGTATAGCTCGGAGTCAGGACGTGGATCCACGCCACGAGCTCCACCTCGTTTGGGCCGCCCCCAGCCGACGAGGTGCTCTCGGAGGTACGGCTCGAGTCGTCCGTGGGAGTGGCTGCCATCTTTCGGGGAGACGTAAGACTCGAGTAAGCCGGAACTCGGGTTTGCCGACGTTTTTTGACGAGCGCGTCCTGGATTTGACGATCCAGTTTTCGTGGGATGTCTGCAGCGGGAGCTCGCGTCAAATTTCAGACTGGGCCTCGTCATTTTTCTGACGGCCCCGTCAGGCCAACCCGAGCCCCCCGTACCCGAGCCTTACGCCTCCCCGAACCTTTCACACAACGCGGCGGATCTTCGCCCGCTCGGGGATCCAGAGCGGGCCCTGGGCCCGTCCCGGGGCGTGCCCCGCCTGGGATGTCGGGGATCCAGCCGCGGCGACGCGACCCTGCCAGGGGGCCGGGAACACAAAAAGGGCCGGAGGGCGGTGATCAAGGGGAAGCACCCCGACGGACCTCTCAAGCTGGGCCCCACGGAGGACTCCCGGGGGCGCGGCTCGGGAGCCCGTCGGTGGGCTCGGGGAGGCCCCCGGGGGCCCCGCAGGGAAGACTTCTGCCGAGCCCGTGGAGGGCCGTGTGTCCGCCCCTCGGCTGGGCCGGCTGCCTCCAGGCCCTCGGGGCTCGGTAAGCTCGAAGCCATAGAGGCCCTCGGAGAGCGGTGGGGCCGCGACGGTGCAGAGTCCCATGGCTGGTTCGCCCAGAAGCGGGGGGGCCCGTCGCGGGCCCCTGGCAGGCGCGGCGGCCTGCCAGGGAGGCAAAGAGGTCTCCTCTGATGGGCCCCCAGTAACCGTCTGGGCTCAAGTAGACGTCTTGGCTCAAGTCATCGTCTTGGCTCAGGTCACCGTCTTGGCTCCACATCACTCGTGACTGAACACCTCTTGTTGGCCAGTGCAAGGGTGACAGCAGCTTGTGAGGGCAAGATGCAGGCTACGAAAGCTATAGTTGGACCAACTCGCAAGTCGGAGGGGGTAGTGGCAGTTCTCCTGACGATAAGAAGTTGAAGAGCTCCGAAACGACCCAATCACAAAAAATATAAGATGTTTGAAATGATGACTGGCATGCAGACTTCCATGTAACAAAAACAACACATTGCAACGCTAGCGTCGGCAGCATCCGAAACACATCGGATGACGTCAACAAGATCAAGCAAGCGATGAACGAGATGCAGAAGAAAGATGGGGAGCTCGAGCAAAGCATCAAGGAGCTTCGCAACTTGTTTACGAATACCAACCAGAAGGCGCAGGTGAAATCAGATCCGGGAGTATACGAGAGGGGCATCAGGGATCTGCAGCTCATCGCAACTGGCCTGAAGGAGGCGCAGGACGAAGAAAACGTCATCCGGCAGGTCAAACAAGCAGTGAACAATCTAGAGTCTCAGAACACATGCAAACCGATGTTTGGTATTTACAGGCCCTTCCAAAATCGGCGTATTGGAATTCAAATCCATAGCTTCGAAAATTGGTTTCCTGAAGAAATCTGGGTCTATGCAGCAATCGTGGGATGATGGAGCGAACATGCGTTTCAAGAGCAATGACACGATCGAAAAGAGGACGCCCGACAAAGAACTAGGGCATATTAAACACCAGCTCAAAGAGTTAAGAGGGCATGCGCTTGCGGACGTCAAGAGATTCTGGGCGGAGCGCAAGATAGAGCTCAAGGGTGAAGTGGCTTGGGAGGACGAGGGGGGGAAGAGCATTCAGTACCAGGGCGAAGCCTTGCACGTGCAGAGCGTCGTGCGGACTTTCATGACGGGATGCACAAGTATCCACACGCCTGGAGACAACGGAATTTGACGGAGGACACAGACAAGAAGGAGGAGGAGGAGGTATCACAGTACAAGTACACGTGCAATTTCTACATGGTCTTTTTTTGGGACGGCGAGGGAAAGGAGGAGGGGGAAAGGGGAAGAGCAGAGGTGGAAGAAGTGACATCGATGTTGTCATCGACGGGGACGTCCCGCCGAACGTCCGGAGTACATGTACGAGTACAAGCCCTAGCAGGTCAAGTCTGAGAGGAGGGGGAAGCAGAGGGGGAGGAGGAAGAGGGTCGCATGCATCTGTGGACGGCGACTTTCCAGCATGCACCTCGCGAGTTTCATCTTCGAGAGGGGCGGCCGGCCAGGCAGAGGTGGGCAGCGCACGCGAACCACAATGGAAATACAGCGCTGCGGGCAATAACTTGGAACGTCGCTGGCCTGAGCGATGACGGTTTCAGGGATTTTGTAATCAGCTCTCGATTCAGAGATGCCGGGCGGCAGAATCGCGCGCGCAGATTTGTCTTCAGAGATGGGATCATGGAGGGTAATTACCGCGCACATGCCGCATGAGGGACATCCCGACAGTGAATATGACGCTGCGTTGGCGGCTTTGGCCGGCGCGATATCATCACGCAGAGGGGGGGCAAGTCCACGCTGAATGGAATAGATGCGAACGCCCGGGTTGGAAAGCATACAGGTTTTGACCACCCTAGCTGTTTGGGCAAGTTTGGCTACGGGATGCGGAACGATAGGGGGCAGACGTTTGTAAATTGGTCGCGGGAGTATCGTTTCTCAATTGTCAATCCATTTTTCTGCAAACCTGCCGCCGATATGTGGACCCAGCGAATGTGGAGCACGGGAATCAGAGACATATTGAATACCTTCTGGTGGATACGAAGATCAGTCATGGCATTAAGAATTCGCGTGGCGAGGGCGACTTGATCCAAAAACTGGCCACAGAGCCGCATGGGCAAACATTGGAGGGAACGTTCGAAAGCAACCAAATGGCAACCTGCAGCACGCAATCTGGGCTGGGA